CAGGAATTTATTTTGGCACTCGCAACTGAGTCCCAAATTTTAAAGGAAAAAACTTTGAACGAGAAGGCATGAGAATTCTAAAATGAGAGTAGTAAAAGAAATTCTTCCGTGGCTCGTAGCTCTACGCAGAAGTTATTAATGGTGAAGCTTAGGTTGAAAAAAAATTTTTTTTTGAAGAAAATCAACTATATGAAGTGGAAGTGAAACTTGAGATGTCAAAAAAAGTGATAACAGGAAATTCATGTGAAATATAAAAACTGCTTGTTGTTTAGTGAGTTTGTTTACTCCTCCGCCCTCGAAAGAAAAGCTTATCTAAACATCGATAAGCGCGTGCCTTATTTATGCTTCCTGCCTTTAGGCAATCTTGCGCTCAACACTTCGTGCGCTATCGCTGACCTGATTCTAACCTCGATACGCACAAGTATACATTGGATAATGATCACATTAGAAAGAAGGAAAGTATCCAAAAAGCAAAATGGGAGATTGCCAAACGCTTTTAAAATTTACGCAAAAACCTACATTAATGTTCTTTGAATTATTAAAAGATATTTTAATTAATTTATAACAATAAACAGCTATTCAAATTGTTAAGAGTCAACCCTTTGCTGATCTTAAGGTCAAGGGTAAAGAATTTCTATATCTACTTTGGTTTCCTTTCTTTGAGCCAATCCTTGTAGGTAATATCGCTCTCGTATTTTTTATGGTATCCCTTATTCACTGAGAGTTGGAAGAACCTAATGTTATGGATTACCCCGCTCTTACGTGGAGGTGAAAAACAGAGGATCCAATTACATAGAACTACATTTAATAATACTCTGGATCAAGAAAAACAAAGAGACCTCCTCACTTGAGCTTGATGGGAATCGGTGAATCCATTCAAAGAAGCAGTTAAAGTCCGTAAGAACCCATGCGCGTTACTTCAAAATGGAAACTGCAAATGAGTTTTGGCTCTAAAAACTGGTGTGGGTTATCGCAACTTGTCTGTCTGCAGTCACATCCTACTTTATACGGTATCACAGAACGAGGGACATTTATCAACGAATCCCACTTATGATTCAGTTTTTTGAAACTGCATTCGGGTGGAATTTTCTCCAATTCCGAAATAAAGTAATTTGATTAAATATTTTAGAAAAAAAGGCAGTTTGATGTCCCCCTTTTAAGCCGATGTATGCTCTTTTACTGTCAAAAATGACTTTCTTATTATTATACCTCTTCCTCATGATGGATTGCTCTTCTTTTTGATTTGTAAGCACTTATGCTTGTTTCCCAGAAAACAAAGCATTAATGAAAGTTTAGTTCTAGTACACATTAGGGCAATTCGATGTAAAGGACCCATCTGTCTACATTGATAAATTTTATAACTGAGCCAGTTTGACTTTGACGATTGGCCTTGTAGTGTACTTACTGTTTTTGAAAGAGAGTATATCTCTGAATTCCAATTTTATTACTTTAAGGAATTCCTTTTTTGCCTTCTAGTTTTCTATTAAATTTCCCGAATAACTGTCGTGCCTTATTTATTCAGATTTTTGCCCTGAACGAAACTTTGTCGTGAATATCAAAGGATGCTGCAAGAGGTGAAACAATATTTCGTGATCTTCTTCACTTTGGTAAATTTGAATATTACCTTTATGATATTTCATTCAGTTCTCACAATTTCCATTTAGAGTTCCTCATGATTCAGCATTAAACTATTCTCAGTGTCAGTTTTATTAAGGCAAAAAAGAAAAAAACTGTGTCCACTTCGCCGCGTAAAACCTTGCTCAAGTAGATGCTTAGCAAAATTCATTTAATCTTACTTCTGAACATCATATAGGTAGAAAAACATTCTTATCTTAGCTGTCTAAGTTTGAAATAGAAACTCAATGTATCTTTCCACTCGTTGAATGATCTGCATGCTTTTTTGTCAATTATTAGTTTATTTTATCCATAATTAGCATATACAATCATGGGAACTTATTTACATATTCGTAGTTGTTCATTCAAAATTAACATTGATTAACTTTTGTCAGCTTTTCGAATTATAAAGTATAATGCATGTGATAGAGTCTGAATGCTTCGCTATTTTGCAAATCTCACACCATCATTCATTTCAAGCAATAGCGATGGTTTTTCTGTATTTCATTAAAGGATAACGCAAAACATTTCATAACATTTCGATTTTCGTGTTTAACGGTTGTTTGCTTCTTTCGAATCTTTTGCTTTGATTGAATCTTTTGTTTTGATTGGAAATGATGATTTAATGAAGGTGCCTTGGATTGTCTCTAGAGGTTTGTAATATCTTAAAGGGTACATGCTTGAGAGCAGACAATTATAAGTATTGCTTTGCTTTATTCTAGTTGCTCTAGAATCTTCT